AATATCAGATACTTTAAGACTTTTACTCAAGTAATATTCCTAAAGGAGACTTTAACTTTTACCAAAGTAAGTTTTATAAGATACTTGTACTTTTACTCAAGTAATATTCCTAAAGGAGACTTTAACTTTTACCAAAGTCAGTTTTTGGTAAGATACTTGTACTTTCACTCAAGTATCACTTTGTGGTACTTTATACAACACTGGACACATCGATTTAAATCACTCTAGCAGCAAAGATACGCTTTCTCTAAGAATCTGCTTTAATTATTGTCAAAAGTACAGACTTCGAACTATAAACTGTTTTTTAAAATCGTGTTGATTGGCTGAGTAAAACCAGAGTCATGATAAATAATTAACAGCACGTTTTGATTTAAATGATCGTCAGATGTTTCAGTGAAAAATGAGCAGAGTCGTGGAGAAAAACACCTCCATCCCCCCTCTGGACCCCCGCCGGTCTAACATAAAACCCCCAAACTCCTTTCTGACTCYCGCCTTAAAGCTCCATAAAAATCTACAGGAAGAAGAAACTAAAAAGACACAAAAGTTGAATGAAGTTTGGTGCAGATCAGGAGCGAGCAATGAAAAAAAACCCGCTGAACCCTCCAGACGTCCTAACTACCTAAAACAGTTTTAAAAAAACACGGAGGTCTTCGTCCAGATGAACTCACCATTCCAGTGGTTTTCTCTTTGGGGTTCTTCATGATGATCCTGACCTGCTCTCTGACGTCGTGAATAAATCGATCGGCGACGCCCGGCTGGGTGTGCAAAACTGTGCAACAAAGATGGATGCTGGAAAAGAAGACATAAAAATAAATAAATAAATCAAGCAGCTGTGAGAAGTTTCCATTAAAGTACCTGTGACATCAACTTTTTGTAATAAAAATAACTGCATTTTTTAAAAGATAACACTGATAACTGGTTGCAAAAATAATTTCKTGCTGCAGAGATGAACAGTTGTTGAGATATTTACATGTTCAGTAACAGGAAGTGATGTCAAAGGGGAATGTCTGCATGTAAACAGAACGTTGCTACAATAACTAACTAGAGAAGAATTTGATGTTTCTTTACATTATTTGAGTCAAMATCAGAGATGAAACAATATTGTTTCAATAAACAAAGACCAGAGAGTTCCTTTTCTTATAATTTCCCTTTGATGTCACTTCCTGTTTCATTTTGAGCCGAGTTCAAAAGAAAATCTACCAGTTATGTGACAAAATGAGTAAAACCGTGTTTTATGCCAAGTTTCTAAGATGCACTTTAAATCACGTGTCAAACTCAAGGCCCGTGGGCCAAATGTGGCCTGCGAAAGCTTCTTCTTCTTTTTTTTTTTTTTTGATGGCCTGCAAAAGCTTCAAAGATGTATTAATGTCTTTAAAATAAGCTGCTTTCAAGCCAGCACTGACCATAAACTACATTTCCCATAATGCATGTTGATTATTTTACACACAGAATGACGGCCTCCCACCACCAGGTGGAGCTGCACAGACGACAGCCGCCATGTAAAATCTCAATTTTGCTGCATTTTCACTGGCTACGTTTGTTAGTCTATTAATTTTGTACTTTTAGTTGTACTGGGAACTGGGAATTTCCCACTTACGAGTTGTAAATTTAAACTGGAACGCCCCTTCAGTGGGAATTCCCTGTTGGAAAGTGGGAGAGTTCATAATTCAAGATGGCAGCTACTCACTYCAACTCAACAGTGATTAAAACTCTTACTTTTACTTTAAAAGTATTTCTGTATTACTTATTCTACATATAGTCAGTCGAACATGTWGTATTCGTRAGTGTTTATTAGAGGACGTGTTAAAACTCCGTTTCTATGCAGGAAACACCAGGTAGAGCTCAGTTAGTGTTTGTTAGCGGGGCTCAGGAACGAGACATTTCCTGTTTAGTCAAAGTTAAACAAACAGTTGAAGTTAATTATAACAAAGACGCTCATGTTGCTCTCAGTGACTCCCCTGCATTAAATGAATCAAACGTAGGCCCGCCCCCTTCCACCTCCACCTACCTGGATGGGAACTGCAGCGTGTTCAGGTTCCAGCCCTGTGCAGTCATTGCATTGGAGAGGCGGAAAATGTCGAAATCATCCGAGCCGATGGCCACCACCGACACCTCCGGATCCCCGAACACAAACACCCCTTTGATCTTCCGGATTCTGTAAAAAAAAAAAAAAAGTTCGAGCGTCAGCGCGGGCTCCCGTGGAGTTCGGCTCTGGTAACGCGTTGAGTCGTACTCGTTCTTGATTCTGCGAGCGGTGCCGACGATCTTCCTGGTGGCGTCCACGTATCTGTTCTCCCCCATGTACATCATMGTGGCCCAGCAGGCGGCGATGATCCCCCCCGGCCTGGAGCCGGCGATGGAGGGCGAGGCGTAGATCCCCCCCTGCCAGTCCGGGGCTACAAAGTACTGGTACTGTCGGTACTTTATGTCCTTGTAGAGGATCACAGAGGACCCTTTGGGGGCGTAGCCATACTGGAGAGAAAGAAACGAGAAACTTCAGGGTTTTGTCTTTGTTTCTATATAAAATCTTGACAGAAGTGGGTCCTTTATGGGATCAATCTTGTTCCAGCAGGAAGCGAATTTGAAATCCTCAGACTGAATCTGAACGTGCAGAATTTGAAACTGAATGATTGGTTTGAAAATAAATTTCACTAAATTGAAACTGAATTTAAAGTTTAATTAATTTGCTTTGAAACTGTATTTTGGTTTATTAAAAATTCAGTTAGACTACTTTCACTTTCAGTTCCATAATTCAAATTTTTGTGTCACATCCTAGTCCTTGAGAAAGAATATGTAGAAAATGTTACATTTACATGATGACATCATGGATCACATATTGATCAGATGTTGCTGCTGACTGATCCATGATGTGATGTAAATGTAACATTTTCTACATATTCTTTCTCAAGGACTAGGATGTGACACAAAAATCTGAATTATGGAACTGAAAGTGAAACTAGTCAAAC